CCAGAGCTGATCCTTCTGTTACAATCCTTATTTTATTTCAAAACCTTTTATACTCCAAATATAGGAAAGGGTGAGATAACCCCCCCAATACTCCAAATATAGGAAAGAGTGAGATAATCCCCCCAGTAGCCCCAGTTACTTATAATCCACTCCTTTGAGATAGTCACTGTTCATACATCCAGATGTCTTCTTAGTGTCTTCTAAAATCCAAGTAATATCAAAAGGAAGTATCTCTTTTTAAGTATAAACTCCCTGAGCACAGCTTATTTATCTCCCCAAAATGGTGAAGGGCAAAGAGGGCTCAAAGAAGGTCCAAAATGAAGGCTCCAAAAGTTGTAATCCAAGAGTTATAACCCAAAATTGTAAAGTCTCTTAGGTTTTGTGAAGTCTAACATTTATTTATAATTCCAAGTTAAGGGGTTATTTGTAGCACAAATATAGGAGGGTATCCAGATGCATAAAAGCCAAAAAAATAAAAAAAATTTAGGGTATCCAGATGCATAAAAGCCAAAAAATAAAAAATAAAAAAATCCACCAATAGCCTATAATTAAGGATTTAGATAGTTCCTTGGTGTCTTCTAAGTCTTCTAAGATCAGGAACCAACTAGAAACTTCAAAGTTCAGTCTTCAATCTTCCTCATAGACAAGTTTATTTGTAATCCACTATGTATATTCCCAAATGGACAAAAGAACAAGAAAATGGAAAATTCAACAAGCCCTTTAAAAATTAGAAAGTTCCTTCATAACTCCTCCACTCAAACCATTCTAAGCCAAGTAGTTTGAGAACTGGGAAGACTGCCAATTTAGCAAAAACAGTCAAAACAATCCTCCCCTTCAATGACAAAAAAACCCAGAAACATTCACGCAGAAAACAGCCGATAACGAAACTAGTCTCCTTTCAGTTCATTCTATAATCCCCATTACATGAAGTGGGGGTTACGACTCCACACTTGTCTTATTTCACAATTTTAAAAAGAGAAAAAGAAAAAGTTTTCCCCAAACTCCATCTCCGTATTTTTCAAGCACTTAGTTGAATATTGTAAATGTCTTCAAATAACGTTCAGGCTATTAACAAAGCAATCAGTCCTTCTCTAGCTTCCCTCCTCCCTGCTGAAGGCTGCCATTTCAGTTCTGTGAGGGAAGAACTAGCTCAAATGAAAGTTTCAGGTCTCTCTCTCCTTATTTATCCAAGCCTGATAAGATAAAGCTTAAGAAGTAAAATATTTAAGTCTCACCCAAAGTAAACATGATAATGTCCAATTCTTCTTTCCTCCTGGGGAAAAGTAAACCTATGAATCAAGCCAGGACAAGTTGCCAATTCGCCCCATGACCCAAAGGTAAATACCTCTCTTCAAACAGCAGAACAGACTATCTTCAGCATCATCTGAGGTCCCCCATCCAGAGAAAAATCCTCCCCCTGGAGCTCAGGAGAGAGAAGCCACTTTCGACGTCTACCAGAAGTTGTCTCCCAGTGTCCTTTCTTAAAGCAGTAGACACACTACCAGGCCATTATTAGAAGTTGGAGGAAGCTGCAAATTGTCTAAATTTGGCAACCTTGCTCAATTACAGCCCTGTGGTGCAGTTTTCTAGTGTATGCACATCTGGGAGCAAATCTCATTGAATTCAATAGGACTTATTTTAGGTGATTTAGCATAGGATTGCACAGCAAGTCACTTACTTACATAATTCATGTTATTTTGATTTTATTCATACCATTAAATGGGAAAAAACCCAAACCTGTATGTCCTGCTTACCCTGCATTTCCCTTTGATTTTTGTCTCTTTATGTCTAAATAAATATTTGATGCCAGTTTGGATTCATCAAAGGCAAAAACAGTAAGATATTTCCCCACTGCTTTTTAGAAGTGGTTATAATTCAGGGTTAAATTTTATCTTTAGATGAATATGTGCAAAGATGATATTTTGCCTCTAATGTGTATGAGATAAAGGCAGTTTTTAAATTAGAATGTTGATTAATTATGAATAGGAAATATAATGAATTTATATTTAATTATTGAATGAAACTGCAAGGGAAATCAGCAGCCTTGACATTTGATACAGATACGTTGATTATACCTTGTCTTCACCAGTGTACACACATAGAAATACATATCAATAACCTCTTCGTGGATATTCTACGGGTGCTTTTGCAGGTCCTTTGAAGACTCTTTTATCTAATGTTGAGTTTTCTGAACTTTTGAAGTATGGTTATGGTAGATTATACACATATCAAATTCCACAGAATTGTAATATTCAATTTATCCTGAAACACAAGTTTCTTCTGCTGTGAAAAGCCAGTAATACAAGTTGTGTCACTCCTGTGCATTTAACACCAGTCTCATAGAAAAATATAAATGGGGAAGAATTTCTAATCACTTACCTTTGTGTGCTTCATTTAACTGGCCAAAATCCTGTTGCTTAGCATAATAAGTCACAGCATAGAGGGCTCACCAACTCTGCATTGATTCAATGGACTCATAGCAGTGTGATTCACTGCACTAAGGAACAGGATTTTAGCTATTGTGTGTGTCTGGATGTTGTTATATATGAAAAATTTGGGCCAGAAGGAGGGGATGTGCCAATGATTGGAATGAACATTATTGTTGGTATTATTAATTATACTACNTATTTATTTATTTATTTATTTATTTATTTATTTATTTATTTATTTATTTATTTATTTATTTATTTATTTATTTATTTATTTATTTTGCATTTTCAGATAGATCATTTGTATAGAATATATTTTGTGGGTAATTTGTTAGCATCTCTGCTTACATTTTGGTTCATCCTCTTGACAGAATGATTTCATATAAAACCAGAGTAGTGATTGTTAGTATCTGAGTTGCTATTAGTATTCATCACAGTACATGGTCTTGTTTTAGTTTCTCTTCAGGTCTTCCCTCTCTTGTGTATTCATGTTGCATCTGTTTTCTTTGACTAACAAAGTGAAGCTTTCATTGCAACTGATGCAGCTTTGCAGAATTACTTTGAATCAACAAAAACTGCTTGAGTTTCACATTGCTTAAATTGTTTTACATGTTTTAATTGATTTTAAATTGTTCAGCATGTTTTACACTTAAGTCTTTTTACCACATCCTAACCTGAGTTCCTGTGAATGTGGAATGAATGAATGAATAAACAAACAAATAAATGTGAGAATCACCAGTTTTTGTGTGCTGGTGCTCCAGTTTTTACATATCACAATTTTACTATGCTGTACTTTGAGACTCTTTGTTTTCTCTCCTTTAAAAAGGGAGATGCCATATGAAAAGATGTCATGTATTCCTTAGTCTTTTAGTTTGGTTCAGGTATTTCTTGGTTTGCCTTCGGTATTGTGCATGTAAAGAAAAAGGAGCAGCTCATGGAAAGGAGAGGGCGTGAGAAGAGGATTGGGTTACATTAAGCTCTGAGAAGAAGGTGAAACAGAGCATTCATAAAGCCACACATGAATTTCCAAGCAAGAGTAGCTCAGTCCTTACTCCTGCAAAGTCAGATCATTTATTCTTGCTTTTCCATTTCACTCTCTCTGAGCCCACCAACAAGAAAAAGCTGCCAGGCAATGGAGCATTGCCCCTGTCCAGGGTCCTGAATCATCTTCCTTCTTTTGCTCATTACATCTTATGTCTGCAGTTTACACAGGAAATGTTGTGCCCTGTTAGTTGGCCTTATACAGATATTATCAAAACATGGATTTTTGGGACTTTTTGCATTGATGGCAGTTTTGTTAGAGTTTGGTTTTGTGTTTGTGTGTCCAAGGCCCCTTTGGTTATTCACTCTTTATTCTAATGAAATGTCCTTATTAAAACTTAAAAGAAAACCCAAGGATGTCACTCTTCAGTTTGAAAGACATTCACTATGCAGTAACAGTGAATACAAATACACGTTTAGCAATGAAATGTAGAATGAAGGAGGGCAGGCTGTCAAGTTTGTTGTTTTTTACGAGAACACTGAGATACATCATCTGGAGGCTACTACAAAAGACTTACACTTAGAATGAGCGACACCTGGGTTTAAGAACTTATTTTGAGCACTAGAACTGAAGAGAGCCCACAGTTATTTCATACAAAAACAAGTTTATTACTTACTCCAACTTCTTAATTTAATTTTTACAATTTGGGGAGAAGAATCTTTCCATTCACTCTACTATTATAAACAATCCTTGCTGATCTCTCTATCATTCAAGGGAATTACCAGGAGATACAGATACAGGCCCAGATACACAATCAAATGTGTTTGTCTGTAAAAATTAATTCTTCTGGTATTTGTATGTCATATTAAATGGAAATATGTAACTAGATTCAGAGGTATGAAGCATAAACACAACTAATAAAGGGTTTCATATGCAAATATTCCATATAAGAAGGTTTTGCTAAAGAAGACACTCGGCATGATCCAGTAATGGAAATCTGCTAATGGAGTGATGGAAGCCAGTGGAACGTGAAAGGATTTCCCACTTCCCATTGCAGCCTCCTCTGCATCCCCAAACATACTGGGAAACCCTCCAGACCCAGATTTTGAAGGTGCGGTAGGGGAATAGAAACAGTTTCTGTGGTGAAGCTCATGACAGCATTGGATTTAGCTAGTGGCAGTTTCAATGAAAGGAGTATCATTACACATTTTCTTTTCTTTTAATAAAAATGCTGACAGTAACAAGAAATAATTTAATTTGCTTTAGCCTAAACAGAGATGCTGTTCTCACTTCTTATTTTACTTTTTGCTCCTTTGCTTTGGAACCCATGACTTATGAGTTAATTAAATTGGTTACAGCCATGACACCTGAGCAAGGAAATTGCCATCTTTCACAATAATCCAGTTTTTCTAAGTGACCTTTATTTAATTGCACTTTGCAGTCCAAAAGATAATGCTTTGTAGTAGGAGATCCTATTTAGTAACTGAAAAATCCTGATGAGCCATGCATCATTAATAAACAGTTAAGAATGGTCTTTACTCCTGCCTGCCTTTGCTAATTGTATGCCTTTTTTGGTTTCTGTCTTGCAGTTTTTGGTGAAGATCTACATGCCAGCTTATATTTTGTCAATGCATCTTTGCAAGAGGTAGTGTTCGCTAGCACCACAGGGACACTGGTGCCCTGTCCTGCCGCAGGGATCCCTCCTGTGACGCTCAGATGGTACCTAGCAACGGGCGAGGAGATCTACGATGTTCCAGGGATCCGCCACGTCCACCCTAATGGCACTCTCCAAATTTTCCCTTTCCCTCCTTCAAGCTTTAATAACTTAATCCATGATAACACTTACTATTGCACAGCTGAAAATCCTTCAGGGAAAATCAGAAGTCAGGATGTTCACATTAAGGCCGGTGAGTAGCATTCAATAATATTCTTGCTAATATCCATGTAACACACTCTTCGTAGTGAACAGCATACAGGAATGGGTTTTCCCTTGTCCAGAAATATTTGCATTATATCGATAAGCTAGATATGTGGGTGGGGTTGAGGACTGGCCAATAGTACTGTGATTTGGATGGGGGAGATAAGTGCTGGAGGAACTGATAAAAGAAAGGTAGGGCGATGCAGGAGAGCTTCGGTAGGATAAAATGTGGCCTTTCATTCTTATGATTCACACCTGCCAAAAACTTGAAAATTGATTTGTGTTTTGGTGAGAAGCAGTTAAATTATGAGAAAAGGAGTCTGCTTCTGGGATTTTTTCTTGCCTGGTATCTCTTTGTAAATAAATGATAACAAGCACAAGAGGGTAACCTGTAGACCATCTTGACTGCTGCCATTGGTATTCTCAACATTTAGGCTGCCCTTTGCTATATAAAGCCTGGCATTTTTTCCCTGTTGTCAGTGCAGGTAAAATTTCGTGCAGCAATATCAGACCATTTTCTGGCGTTTTGAGTCAGAAGCTCAATATCCCCCCATTCACAAACCAGAGAGGTGTTTTTTTTTAAGGAGCTGAATTAAAATACAAGTAAAGTTAAACAGACAATAAATATACAATGTAAAAAATAAATATAGTGTAATTTTAAAAAAACTGGTACTGTAATACAAACATTCTAAGAGAACATTTCAAGGAAAACTTTAAAAATCAACCCACCATTTTGGGGTAGGTCTTTACCTGATGCTGAAGGGCAACAGGGATAGGAGTCCATCGTGCTTCACATTGGAATACAATCTATAACATGGAGGCAGTCTCAGAGAAGGCCCTCTCTTAAATTTTCACTGCATGGGCAGTGGTACTGAGAGAAGAAGCTCTCCTGAAGATCTTAGGAGCTGAGAATACTGATACATGGAGATATGGATGTTCATATAGCTTGGACCCAAGCCATAACCAGCACTTTGAATTGGGCTTTTCAAGCTATTGTAGCAAGGGAGTTAATATGCTTCCTGTAGCTGGAGCCAGTCAGCAGTCTGGCTGCAGCATTTGTGAACCAGCTGAAGTATCCAAACTGTCTTTCAAAAGCAGCCCACACAGAGATCCTTACAATAATCCAAATGTCATCACTAAGGGATGTGCTAGATTGGACATCTCAAGGAATTGGCAGAGCTGGTGCGCTAGTCAAGTGCACACCTGGCCATGGCTGAGATCTGTGCATCCATGATCAGGAATGAATCCAGGCACACTACCAAATTGCTGCCAGGCAGAGTGTAGCCTCAGGCAGTACAGGCAGAATCCCTGTTGTCTGATCTGACTTTCAATTGACCAGCAGGACTTTGTCTTGTCTAGATTACATGTCAAACTGTTTTCACTCGTTGTTTAGTTGTTACGTCGTGACCATCCATATAGATTTCTCAGGAGATAGATAAGGTGGTCAGGCACTCCCGTTTCTTTAAGAACTTGCCATAGTTTGTCGTGGTCCACACAGTCAAAGGCTTTTGCATAGTCAATGAAGCAGAAGTAGATATTTTTCTGGAACTCTCTGGCTTTCTCCATAATCCAGTGCATGTTAGCAATTTGGTCTCTAGTTCCTCTGCCCCTTCGAAATCCAGCTTGTACTTCTGGGAGTTCTCGGTCCACATACTGCTGAAGCCTACCTTGTAGGATTTTGTGCATAACCGTACTAGCGTGTGAAAAGAGTGCAATTGTACGGTAGTTGGAGCATTCTTTGGCACTGCCCTTCTTTGGGATTGGGATGTAGATTGATCTTTTCCAATCCTCTGGCCACTGTTGAGTTTTCCAAACTTGCTGGCATATTGAGTGTAGCACCTTTACGGTGTCATCTTTTAAGATTTTAAATAGTTCCACTGGAATGCCATCGCCTCCACTAGCCTTGTTGTTAGCATGCTTTCTAAGGCCCGCTTGACTTCGCTCTCCAGGATGTCTGGCTCAAGGTCAGCAAGTACACTATCTGGGTTGTCAGGGACATCAAAATCTTTCTAGTATAATTGCTCTGTGTATTCTTGCCACCTCTTCTTGATGTCTTCTGCTTCTGTTATGTCCCTACCATTTTTGTCCTTTTTCATGTCCATCTTTGCACAAAATGTTCCTTTAATATCTCCAATTTTCTGGAACAGATCTCTTATCCAGTCCATTACTGATACATAAATTTATTTTAAAAAGCAAGAATACCTTCCTTGGAGTTTTGCAGAAAGGAGAAATAGAGTTTTGTGCTATACACATACTGGTGACACTGAACTCTAAACTCTGGACAACCTCTCCCAGCAGTTTTATGCATGTTTATAGGATAGGGAATAAAACAGAGCCCTGAAGGCTAACATTCAAGGTGATGAACAGATGTCCCCCACACCACTTTCTTAAGATTGCCCCTCCAGGGAAGACTGGAGTCACTATAAAACAGTGCCTCCAAATCCCACCATAGAGAGATTGCCCAGAAAGATACCATGGTTGACGATACTGAAAGCTGTTGAGAGGTCCAGCAGAACAAATAGGGACAGACTCTCTCTCCAGAGAGGGAAAGAGAGATCTGAAACTTGATTGAAATGAGTCTAGATAATCCACTTCATCCAGGAATTCTTGGAGCTGAGAAACCACCATGGACTCCAGCACCTTGTCCAGAAACGAAGTATCTGAGACAGGTAGGTAATTATTCAATACACTGGAATTCAAGAAGAGTTTTTCAGTAATGGTCACTGGCACCTTGACTTGCTGCAAGGATGCTTTAATGACTCCCCTTACTCTCTGAGCCAATTGCCCTCTTCCTGCTTTTCTAAACCAGGAAGGGCAAGGGCCTACCACACATGTGATAACTTTCATCTCTTCGAGAATCCTGTCCACATCCTCAGGCTGTACAAGCTAAAACATATCCATTATAACACAACAAGCAGGGGCCAAAGTTACATCCACAGGAGCTGCATCAATTGTAGCATCCAGGTCAGAGCAGATCCAAGATATGCAGATAGAAAATTAATAGACCAATCTATATTCTTTCATGATAGTTTTTAGCACATGCATTTCCCACTTGTCTTCTGAAATGATGTAGTTCCAGCAGACTTATTTCATATGATTCTTCCTTCTGAAAATGTAGGTTGGTCTTCCATTTATTAAAAGATGGAATATTCAGTTAGTCCTTATTTTATTTTCTGATCTGTTTTCATCCATGAAAGCAAATTTAACTGGTCACATGGCACTAAGTTGCCATTATGGTTTATTAATATTTAATATAGAATGTAAAATCAAATAAATATGTTGGCTTTGCGTATATTGAAAGAATCACAAAATCCCAGTGTGCCAATAATGTGCACAGTAATAATAACTACATCTTCATCTTTGTTAACAGCAATCTCTTTTGTTTCATCTGTTTCGACTCATTCAAACAAATATTTGTGGATATTCCTGTTACAAAATTGTACTATTTTGACTGCTGTAATTTCCCCTTAATAAACTTCTGTGGGTGGGTGCACTGTTTTGTGAGGATTCTTCCATCCTGGTTTATTTATTATTTTTGCCATCTAATCTTAAAGATACAGAGGCTTGAATCAAAGGAGTCTGTGAAATGGCCTGAGGATGGACCTGACTTAGTCAGTGATTAAGATTTCCTACTCTTCGTCAGAGTAGGAAATGGAGATGGCACATAATATGGAGCCTCTAAAATGGTGTATATATAGTAGCAAAACCTGTAAAGAATCCTGTGGAAGCTTAAAGACAAAAAAGTTTTATTTGATGTAAGCTTTCATGGACTCACTTCTCCAGCTGCATGTAAATAATCTCAGTAGGTGGAGATGTATACAGAAATATGAAAGAGCAATAGAAATGTACAATGTCTACCATATTTGTGCTCTTAACAGTTTGTTTAATGTCATTGGGAGTTGACAGGTTAAGTCATTAATGGTGGTCAAATATTAATGGTAGTTCTAAAAATGCGTTCAAAGTGTATTGATGGGTGACAAGTAGATCTAAGCATAGTTAAGCAGATGGACACATGGAAGGTGGAGAAAAGTCTTTCTTTAAACTCAGTATTTAAAATGTACAGACAATTTGTCCAGGATTGAAATCAAATAGGGTGGAGGGAATGGGAATGCAAAAAGAGAGAGAAGATTGTGCAAAGAATAGTCATAAAACACACAACAGTTAGGTAGTACTGCAGAAAAACCTGCATAGATTGGTTGATTGTCACATGCAGAGAGAAAAAAACAGTCCGAAGTCCCTGTTTAAGATAAGAGAAATAGAGCTGAACCGCTGGGTGTCTTCTAATTCAGCATTTTCCCCTTTGGAATTTGTGAAGTTTTGTTGTTGTTCAGAGATGACCATCTTGATTCCAGAGAAAGAAACTGAAATGTTCTGCCTGTGGTTTTTAGTATTACTTTTCTCAACATCAGATTTGCTTATTGACTGCCCTAATTATCCTAAGTAAAATGTTGTGCATAATTGCTGGCAAAGTTGTCCAAGGAATGGCGGATGTTTTTTTTTTTACCTTCTTATGTGCTTTTATATTGTTTTAGAAAAAAAATTAGTTCATTTTTATGATATGTTTACTTGCATTTTCATCTTATAAATTAGTAGAAGTTTTATTTGTTTGTTTTTTAAATGTTTTCTAAGAGAGGCCTGAGTTCTTTTATTAGAAGAAAGACATGTTATAAAATGAATGAATGAATGAATGAATGAATGAATGAATGAATGAATGAATGAATGAATGAATGAGTGGTACTCATAGCTATAGCAGGCATCTGAGAACCCAGTGTGGATTCAAAATAATCCCTAAACTATGAACCCAAACCTTTAGATAGAAGTGTGAACTCACCCAGAACAGGCTGTACTTCCAACCTAGGATTGGACTGTATAATGAACACCAGAATATCTTCCTTGTCAAAATGGAATCTCACCTTGTTAGCCCATATCTAATCCATTACTGTGGCAACAGTTCAGAACTGCCACTACCATATTGGAACCAGGTGAAAAAGAGGTTTTTTTACCTGGTTTAGACCACCTTTTAAGCCCCAAATGTCTCCTCCCAGTGACCTCATGTTAAAAATTAAGGGGGCTAAAATAGAATGCTGTAGAGCCTCTGAGTGTCCAGTGTAGCCTTCTTGGAACATTCTCTCAAACAGGATCTGAACTACTAACCTAATATCCAAGAAGGGTATCATGGTTGATGGTGCCAGTCATTAATAAGATCCTGCCAAACCAAGAGGAGTAAACTCCCCCATTTGGTTCCTTGTGTCTGAATCTAGTTTGGAAAGCTATTATTGTCCATGAAAACGTACACCAAATAAAATGTTTTGGTCTTTAAATTTCTTCAGTTATGGTAGCTTGGATTTAACACAACTTGCTTTAGGACCTTACTTTAAGAAAAGATAGTTTGGAGATTGGCCTGTAATTATCACAGAATTTATTGATGATTCTTCAACAATGGTCTCACAAATGCTTATTTTACAGGAGCATACTCCTCCTTTCAGAAACACCCCTGTCCTCAATTGGACAGTCTCCTCCCATCTTGTCAACCACGGTGGATGTGTTTGCAATAAGCAAATCGTTGCCCTCACTTCACCAAATAGCACATCCTTATCTTCAGAACAACTAAGATGAAATTCATCCATCAGAATTACAGAAGCGGATGTAAAAATATTATGGCACCTTTCCTAGTGTGGCAAAATATTTTGCATCATATTGCGGCACTTTTTAATAGTTCTAGGATGCATATCATCGACTCTTCCATCTAATTATCTATGCTCTGGGTTAATACAGTTGTGCAATGTCCATTTGAAGAGAAATGTACCAAAATTTGATTCTATTGTAGGTTTTTATCTTGGAAAAATTAGACTAAGTGGTGTGTGACAGTCAAAGGACCAGTAAGCCTAACTTTGTTTCTTGTTCTATTTGATCCTACTTGAAGCAGGAAAAATGAACATCCTTACTGTGTTTCAGTAGAGTGATGCATTTATGTGAGTGTTCACTGTTTGGCTGGTGCCTAATGTTTCTCTTGCCTAACTCTCTTAATTTTATTTTTTCTTTAGTTTTACGGGAACCATATACAGTCCGTGTGGAGGACCAGAAAGCCATGAGAGGCAATGTAGCGGTCTTCAAGTGCATTATCCCCTCCTCTGTGGAGGCATACATCACTGTTGTCTCATGGGAGAAAGACACAGTCTCACTCGTCTCAGGTAGGCTTGACTTGGTCTGTAGACTGCTCCAGCATCTCATTTTTCCTCTGAATGTGATCTTTCCTTGCAGCTGAAGGCGGGTAGATGGTGTTCTGTCTTTTACATTGGGGATAATTTATTTAATTGAAGCTCCTGTGTGATTGGGGTGACACGACATGTTCAGGAAGATTTGATGTACTTTGCAAATCTGGATTTGATTTAATTTATGTTTTGTTGTATGCTTGTCAAGGAAGACTTATTTCTTCTAATCAGTACTTTCAGTATGATAATAGTGAGGTTGTTTCTCATAAGGAAAGGTTAAGCATAATTCACCTAAAATTCCTTCGCCATTTTCTGCTAATCTACCGTATTGTATTTCTTGTGGGATCTGTGCTTGGACTGCTGAACCTGAAATCTATACAATCATTTATTAAGTGGCAATTTATCACAAAGTCAGTGTAATCACTGAGTAACTGCTACCTTGTGGTCTGGCACCAATGAAAAGTGTGTAGAGATGATCCTATTCACATGATGGGAGTAGGCCTGCAAGTTCTTTCCACACAACTGAATTTCTTCCTCCCAGCATATGTTATTGGGATGTTCACATGAACACACACAAGTTAAGTACATTTGGAATGTGAGCATGTTGATATCTTTTAATTGGATTGAGACTTTTTATGTGTAAGTTTTTAAAAAAATAATGTTTGTAAAAAATGAGTTGAATTGGGTTACTTATAATTGATTTGGTTTAAATAAAACATGTAGCTACCCTTATTTCATGTTGCCTATATTAACAAATAATATTAAGAATTCTTTACAAGCAGAAGCTCTTAATATAAATATATGTTTTAAAACTCTTCAGTTAAAGATGGCCAGAATCCTATCTGGGATTTACTGTGGTGTTTGTGTAACTGCTTCTAATAGTTGGTCACACAACAATTTGTGAGACCTATATGTGACTAGGAATGTGAGTGGCAAGTTATTAATTAATTAAGTCACAGTTCATTGCTGTAGTTTACACATTTACACTCATATCAGCATTAATCATCAGTAGGATGTTGGTCATTATGTATCAAATAATTTATGTTGTGTAAGATAAACATATTCATCCATGCTACTATTATATCATGAAAAGAGCTGCCTTACTTTGTCAGCTGAAAAAATGTAAATGGATAGTTGAAAATGTGCTGTATTCATAGTAGAATGTACATTTCACAATATTTTGACTACAGTATATAAAATAGACTCTTCTAAGAAATAGTCTACATTAGGAACTTATATTTTCTTATAAATGGTAACAGCTAGGAATTTATGACAGTGTTGTGAAGCATCCATTGGATAATTTGTGAAAGTCAATATATAATTTGTTATTTAACAATAAATTGAAGAGTTGTAACTTATGTTTATATGTGGACAGATATCTGTTGACTTTTGCAATAAGGAGGAAAGTAACAAAATTAAAATGTTGAATGCTGTAGTCTGAATTACACTTTGTAGTTGATTTTTCTGTTGATGAATTTATTTATTATTTTCATGTACATGCTGCCCTTTTCTCCAAAGAGACACATGTCTACTAATGGTAGACATGGTCATAATTTAAGAGAAAAGTCAGAATGTCTCACAACATAAGCCGGAAATTGGACAAGTGGCATGTGTCTGTCTTGCATGATGAGACATGGAAGATTTGTGCAAAGTCAGTTGTGTGGCTGAGGGCAAAACAAATTGCTGCCAAAAAGCAAAACCAACTTGGGTGGTTGCCTTTACAAACATGGTATATTGTAATAGGATTTTAGCTTAACATATGTACTAACAAATGAAATGTAATCCACATGCATAGATGTACAGTGGTGCCTCTCTTCACGAGGATAATTCGTTCCATTAAAATTGCTGTTAAGTGAAATCCTCGTCACGCAAAATGAAAAAGCCCATTGAAATGCATCGAAAACCGTTTCAGTGTGTTCCAGTGGGCGAAATACCTCAGCGTCCAGCGAAGATCCTTCATAGGGTGGCCATTTTCTGGTGCCTGTAATGCGAGGAAACCATCCTAAAGCGCAGCGGGGAGCCATTTTGCACAGTGGGTGGCCATTATGAAACCCGATGATCAGCTGTTTTTGATCGTCGTTAAGCGAAAAATTGGTTCCCGAAGCAGGGAACCCATAGTTGTAAAACGGAAAAACCCCATTCAATCATTGTTTAGCGATCACAAAAAACTAATTGTCAAGTGATTTCCTCATCTAACGAGGTAATCATCAAGCGAGGCACCATTGTATGTGTATGGCTGATACCTACAAATGCCTGTAATGAATCTTCGTGCCTCAAGTTCTATAACTTGCATAGTTGTGTTTGTTCTGAAATGGGGAATGCTATCTTCTGTTATGTCAAAAGCATTATACTCATTTAAAAGATCAGTTATAAAAATATTCTGTTTTCAAGCTTTTGAAGTCATCATTGCAGTTTGAAGGAGGCATGTGCCACATTTTCACTTTTTCGATGGACATTTTCAGGGATAAAGAACAATTCCATGTCCTCAGATCCTCCCCCCCCCCAAGTAAATGCAACATCTTGGCTATGTGGATGTGTAGGAAGTTCCCTAATACTTCGAGGACCCAATCAATGCATACAGCCTGAGTGTGCTTTGTTGTGTAAAAAGAATATGACAGATGCTGGATGTGAAATGTGTTGTATATCTGAAAGAACATCATAACACAAATGGTGAAGCAACGTAATGATGCCACAACTAAAAAATGAATAACACATAATAACTGGTAAAGTGGTGTTGATGGGACTTGCACCATTGGGGGGTATCATGAAATATCCCCTTTATTTCATTTTGTGACCTTATGACAGCCTCTGAAAGATGAAAGATTTTGGATTCTGAAAGAGACTTATCAAAATTTACAGATTTCTTACAGATTTCCTATTTCAGATTACCCTGCTTTTTTTGCCCTTTATTGTATTGATTTTTGGAGGGACCTTTCCCTATTTCCTTTATTATTGCTTGGAGTTCCTATATACATGCTCTGATGGACTCAAGAGATCAAAATACTAGGATTGAGAGCTCTCTCCTTTACTGTATATTTTGGGGGTTGGGTTGGGAGGATTTGTTGTTACCCACTTTTGGAGTGAATGATTGCCTGTTGCTTTGTGCCTGCTTTTTTTGGTGGGGGTGGGTTTGAGGGTTCTATGGGGCTTAATTGTCTCTAGAATGGGAACAAAAAAAGTTCTAAAAAATTTGGGCATTTATGGGTTTACCCAAAAGGACCTGTACCCAAAGGGATCTGAAACTGAAAGAGAAGCCCCCTGAAATACCTTGAAATGAAAGCAATATGAACATTTATCCCTTTCACATCCCTAGTGGTGATGATGGTGGATGCTTATCAAGCAGTCACAATTTTAAAAAATGGTAACTTATACAGTATATGAAAATCTTGTTGGCGCATAGAGTAGGTCCCTCAAAATAATTTAAATTATTCAAGATTAACATGTCACTGAATATATTTGTGCAACCTCTATGCTCTGCTGTACTTGTTCTGTGTCTAAGTCTGGAACTAGACCATTCATCCCATTGTCAAATAGTCTAAGTAGTACACCTTCAGGAGTGTATGATCCAAAGTGTTTTATATGCATTATAGAAGCATTTAAATAAATAAGTATAGTCACTCAATGTATTTGTGAAGGCTTTCACGGCCAGGATCTAATGGTTGTTGTGGGTTTTTCAGGTTCTTTGGCTGTGTTCTGAAGGTTGTTCTTCCTAACGTTTCGCCAGTCTCTGTGGCCGGTATCTTCAGAAGATGCCGGCCACAGAGACTGGTGAAACATTAGGAAGAACAACCTTCAGAACACGGCCAAAGAGCCTGAAAAACCCACAACAACCATAATATAGTCACCTTCCTCAAATCCCAGTTAAATTTGTGGTGTTAAAATGGTGTACAACTGCATTTTTTTCAACCCATGCTGCTAAATCAATTCTTAGAATCATTGTTTTAAACCAATACTATTTTTCTTCAACAGTAATTTTATAAAAAATTGAGATGGCCATTGATTGCATTCCATTTAACTAATGGAATACAACAGTAGTAAAAATAAATGTTATTACATGCTTGTACAAATGAAGCATTCAATACTTTTCTAAAGAATTTGTTTTTCTGAATTAAACTTTTGGTCCACCCTGCTGTCATTCTGAACAGCGTGGAAAAAAATAATAATCCAAGGAATGGATTGAACCATTGTAGCCTGGGAGTCATACTAGAAGGCATTCAAAACTGAGAATCACAATCTAATCTATCAAATCACTCATGATAATGAAATCATCAAAATAATCTTTATCAGACCTTGAAACTGATTTATTAAAAATTAATTTGTTCCCTCCAATTCATTAAAAAATGCAATGCTTGTGAACTGTTATTTTAATTGTAAGAAACAGTGATGATAACAGCTTGAACAGTGATGATCATTTGACATAATACTTTTGGGAAGGTAATTTGGGGTTTATGTTTACTCAATTTTGCTAATTTTAATTGAGCTTCTAAAAATAATGTATTACTGACATGTTGTTAAGAATTAATGTGACTCAAGTAATGTAAATTAACTTTACAATTTGTACTAAAATCGGTCCTGCAGAAATTTTACAGGAACCCTTCTCCAGAAATAAGGACAATGCTCATTTCGCAAGCCTGAGCTTGTGTCCATACCCAACATTGAACTTTGACTCCCAGTCTACTATCCTCTCTTTGATATGGCAAGATTCAAAGGTTCATATGGAGTGCTGGCACTAGAAGGACATCACCATCCATTCCAACCAATAATTTGATTGAGACATCTGAATGAGAGATACATGTGAAGCTGCTTCTCACTGAAGTGAGGGAGATTGTCTAGTTCATAGAACAATGATGTTGGAAGGGGCCCATAAAGCCATCAAGTCCAAATCTCTGTTCAATACTTCTGTAGCAACACCATATAAATCTAATGCACAACTCTGCATGATTCTTTAGCTCGTGTGAGGTAGGTAGATTAGAAAACAA